AGGTTGGGGCTTCATGCATCCTTCCCCCTCTCCTCTCTGTCCCTCACCTAACCCGTCTCCACATGCAACCTGTTCTAAGGTTGGGGCCTTCATGCATCCTCACTGTTATTCTTCTACTTCTTCAACTGTTCTGTTCCTCCAGGGGAGATGCCTCATCCCTCTGCTTTAGGGTGAGCAAACAGTGGATGGATGGGTGTCTGTACATTGTTTGAGGTTCTCACTCTTCTTTCCCCGGCTGTTGTAGAGTTCTTGTATCTGGACTTCCAAATTCAATGTAATGAAACTTGCGTCTTTGACTCCATGTATCCACACTAACTCCCATGGCCAGTTTCATCTATCTAAGGAAGACCCGAGTCCTGCTCCCTTCCCCACCATTGTCTGTGAAAGGAGAACCTGCTTCTCAATTGGTGTGAGTGGGTCTACTCTACACACCGTCGCTGTATCCTCCAACTTCTCTCCCTATTACTCCCTTCCCAGAAAACCAGGCCACAAACTACTCCCATTAGAAAGAGCTATGTTTTTCCATCCCCATGCCCTTGTTTAAGCTTTTTATGTCACCAGAAGTGCTGTGTTTCACCTTTACAACCCGATGCATTGGTATTGCCTTTTTCTGTTATTCTAAATGTCTTCTTGGTTTTTTGACTCTTAATAATTTCAATCTGCCAGCCCTACTATTTGGCTACTCACATTATCTTCTTCCCTGGATGTAAAAATTCCTGAAGACAGGAAACAGGCCTTCCCCAATTTAGCAACCTTCACATTACATGTAATGGATTGGAATAACTGCTAACCCTCACATGGGTCTATGTGGAAAACACAGATCATTGTGCAAACACAATCTAAACCATTATTTTGCAAATGACATAAGTCAGAGGTCAGGATGAGTTAAGGAATGTCTTTTTGCCTGGGCACCCGTAGCTCAATGCCTACAGCGCCAACCCCATGCACTGGGGGTGGTAGGTTCAAACCCAACCCAAATCTGTTACACAAAAACAAAAACAACAACAAAAAGTCTTTTACATTGGTGACTACCAGAAGGACATGTTGTGACTAAGCAGGCCCTGGAATGTTCTTTAGAAATCCCCAAATATGGACTCAATGCTTAACCAGTGTTTCTGTCCATTTACTTTAACAATTTGTCTCACTGTTTAGCAATGATACCTGACATCTCTGAGGTTTAGTTTCCTCTTCTGTAAAATCAGGATAACAATACCTGCTTCACAAGATGCTTATGAAGAATAAAAAAAAAAAATAAGGTTTAAATGGATAATATAGTCTTTCTAAAAAAATCAACTATTGCATCCAGCAGGTACTAAGAATGCACTAGTATCTTCCTCCTTTCAAGAGAAAACATGGCTCTCTGAAGTGAAGGGGTCTGGCGTCTGTAAGTAATGTTGCCTGCCAGAGCGCACTTGGCACCGGTCCTGAGACCCTATAGCATGGTCTGAAGAGCCGTTGTTCAGTGGAGGACAGCCACATATAAACCATTAACATTAAGGGGAAAGGCAGCTCTGAGGCTGATGTTCTCTCTTTTGTAAAAAGAAAAGCTTCGTGTTAGCAATATAAAGTTATTCTTTGCCCTAGTATGCTGCCAAAGTTAATTGGAAGGACTAAAATCAAATTTAGAAGAGATGGTATTCTCACTGTGTGTTGCAATGATGTTTCTATGAACCCCCTTAAATCATCTCCCTGACTTCCTCTCAGCCCACTCTACTCCCAGCTGAGAACATGACTCCAGGACAAATTCAGGTTTGGGGACTGAGCCAAACTGTAAGGGATGCAGTGAGCCTGGGAGCAGGCGAGATCTGGACCCAAATCTCTGCTGCTTTTATTCCCCTACAAACTCTCAGAGACCTTCCTTGTCTCAGAAGTGGAATAAAAATAAGTAATTAGAAAACATGGACTTGACAGGGACACAGGAGTAGAAGCACTAGTGATGGTTTTCGGGGGGGCATTATGAATTCAGATTTGTTTGAATTTCGTTTCTTCTTCCTCCTCTTTTTTGTTTGTTTGTTTGTTTGTTTTATTACTTTCTGATTTTTCTTTCTCCTGTATCTGTCTGTCTTCTCTACTGCTGTTTGCCTTCTCTGAACACTGGTTCTGGTATCAGGTCTTCCCAAACACAAATTGTTAAACGTTCTTAACTCAGTGTAATTAACCAAAGGAAGGAAATCAGCCTACATCAATGGCAAGCTGGCGAAATAAGCAGTCTTTAAAGGAAAGGGGGCTTTATTACTCTCAGCGATACACTTGAAACTATTGAAAGCAGTAACGAGCTATATTGCTTAGGAAATGATGGCTGCCTTAACTCCTACATAAGCACGTGTTGTAAATTTATTGTTTGAAATGAAACACACATTTTTTTTTTTGGCTAAAGAAATTTACTCGTTAAATAGATTAACTTTTTTTTTTTTTTCAAAATGCTTAGCGCTCATTTTTTTTTTTCTATTTGAACGTCAAGGGTATTGAGACACAGATGCAAATCTCAGTTGTTAGCACTTGCTGCTAATAAGGTCAAGGCCACACACTAAATCTCTGTACCTACCAATTATCTCTCTCTTCCTCGTGTGGCCGCAAGTGTGTGAACAAGCAGCACTGGTCAAAAGCAGCGCAGGGGGAGAGGATGTGGATGGATCCGTCCAGTACGCCTCCACTTACTGCAAACTGGCTCTGTTTTCACCTGTATGCACCTGTGGTCAGTAGCTCCATCTTTCTTTGTGAGAATCAGTTATGTGAGGAATTTACAGATAACCATAGCTCCATCACGGTTGCTTTAATTATTTATTTGCTCTTTCAACTTTCCGCTCTATGGTCATGTCATTTAAAGCTAGACTTAAAAATAGAGAATTTTCTGTTTTCGGTGACATTTCTTGCACGTGTATTTATTCTACTTGTTAAGGCTAATAATTCCGTGTGAGCTCATGGCGTTACCTCTGAATTCTCTGACAGAAAAAATGATGATACGGTTCATGCGATGAGTGATCTTTACAAACTTTTCATTCCAACTCCAAGAGTGCTTTTTTCTTTGATTAAAATGTACTTCTCAATTAGATTAAAATGCAAATATGGACAGTCTATGTTTATGGTTATGATAGAGTTATTTAAAGAAGGTTTTAAATCACACTGGTATTAATGTTTCCTGCCTTAACTGTTGGTTTTATTGTTAGGGCGGTTCTGCCAAGTTCCATTTTCGAGATTACTTAAAGTGCTGTGAAAACGTAATCAAACTAGCCAGGTTTTATCAGTCTTTACCCTATCTTCTCTAAGAAGCTAAGTGGGCTGTTTTCCTATTAATTCAAGAAGTAAGGCAAGGAACCGGAAAAAAAAAAAAAGAACAAAAACTTAAAAAATCCCGAAAATCAAGTAAGAAAAAATTAAAATAAAAAAAAAATTTTTTCTTACACAGAAATGGAGCAACTCTTAAATTTAAGAATATCATAGTTTATAATTTCTTCCAAGATTAAAGATCTGGAAGCACACTTCAAGAACATATAGTCCAACCTTTTGCTTTATATTAGAAATATAAAATGTAAACTGCATCCAACTCCGTGGATTTCATTATAATCTTTTCTGATGTCCCATCACTTCTCAAACACTTCTTGAAAATCATTTTTAAATAATATTTTTATAACTTCACCTTTTGTTGTTGTTTTTAGAGATCTCAGTGAAAACCAAATTCAGGCAATCCCAAGGAAGGCTTTCCGTGGAGCTGTGGACATTAAAAACTTGTAAGTATATATATTGTTTTAAGATATTATCTGTTTTTCAAGTCAAATTGACATTAAATAAAGTGTCAGAAAGAACTGGTAAAATCCCTGGTTATCTTTATACTTACTTAGGAGAATTTATAACAGTTAAGTTTTGAGTTGTTTTCACAAGCTATTCGAAGAGTTCTTATTTAGCAGATGTCTGGAAACTGAAGTTATTGAAGTTACTGTCAGATTCACTTTTAAATCCTCTGATTAATCTTTTGAAACCTAAAGAATTGATTTGATTAAAAGACATTTGTGGTATTTGATTCCTTTTTCCTGTCAACTTACTCCCTTTGCAATTGCTGTATTTGTTGGAAATGCAGAATGTGAAAATTTTTTTTTTTTTCTGGAAAGAGTAAATAATATTTTCTGGTTGGAGACATTTGTATTTTAGAGTAACAGCCTTTTTCAAGATCACCATTTTCATTAAGTACCAGAAGTACGAGAAGGAAAAAATTGTCTTTCCCTTTGTGTGAATAGTTTTCTGTCATATTTTCTGTCATATTTTTCTCTCCTGTCCTCCTGGAAGAATATACGTGTAATCTTAATGGTGTTTTTCCCTGATAAATCTTCAGTCTGGTGCCTCAAGTAGAAGTGTTTTTTAAGTACCTTTCGCTCTAAAGGAATATATCAGCTTTAAGATCTCAATGGCAATCCTAATTTTGTCAACATACATCTTTATAAATTTTAAAATACCATATTAGCTTTTAAGAAACATGAAATGTTTTTCTTAGCTTTTACATACTTTGGAATATAGGGTGGAAAAGCCCCTGGGTGCTGAGAGTAACCATCCGGGATTTAATATTTCTTAGCTAGTAATAAACAGGGCAGGCACTTTTTCAAGAACTAGCTTATATTCCAAATTCTCCACGGCCAGATTCAACGCCGTTTGTCCCGTAGCGAAAGTAAGAGAGATGCTTTCTCTTGGCAGAGAAGACAACTGTTATAAAAGCTACAGATAAAGGCCTCTGTGTTTCTCAATGTCTATGATTTTTGTTTGAAGCACATCCTTTCTACGTGTTCAGATGAAGATAGAAAGCTACAAGCTTCTAAGATATAAATGTATAGAGCCATTAAAATCATGGCCCTCGGTTTTTACAAGAGTTCAAATTAAAAAGATTTCACTTGCTTTCCTGTTACTTTCACTATGGAGGAAGTCTCAGCTATACTCCGTGATGAGCGTCTTCAAATCTGCCTGCTCAGAACCCCCGGAGAATCCCCCGGCTGCACCTACCCAGGGACCTTTTTACAGCTATGATAGTACAGCCGTGGCTGCAGTTGCCACTTCTTGGAAATGCTGTTTGCCCTCATAACAATGTTATTACCTCTAAGTCCTTAAAACAGAGGGTGTTTAATCCTTTAGTAAAGACATTCAGGGAATCCAAGTCAACAAGCCTCCTGCTTCTCATAATTCAGGTTACATTTGGAAACAAGGTCCAAAGGTCAATGGACAAGGTCATGGCGGGGAATTTTTACATTCCCTTCATTTATTCTTAAAACATGGGACTTTAAAAGTTTAGAGATAAAAGAAAAAAAAAAGTGTACTATTATTCTTGGAAATGGTGTTCGCCCTCTTAACAATGTTATAACCTGGTATATGGGGCCAGTGACCTACTCCTTTGAGCCACAGGTGCCGCCCTTGGTGGGCATTTTTTAAATTTTGTATTTGTGGTTGTGAACACATCAGCAAAATTCACTGAGCTGTAGTTTTCACTTTTATAACATAAACATAATATTTGCTTGAGTGTGTTATGATTGTTAAGGGAAAAGAGATGTGAAAGGATTTTTAAAGCAGTACAATGCCATGACAGTAGAGTATACTGTTTCACGTCACAAGTATTGGGCTGAACAACTGCAAAAAGTTAGCCCAGAAAAACCTGCACTAACGAGACAGGAAAACAGAACGTGAAGTAAATAACGATGTTAGCAATGGATGTGATGATTCTATCATGGATCAGTTTGACACGGAACTACACAATGGAAAGGGGAAATATGCTAGAATGTACTAAGGAGATGTACACAGGACCTTGATTGATGTACACAGGACCTGATGAGAGTGTTACTTGAAGTTATCAGAGAATGCTGAGGGGGGTGGTGGTGGAAATGTGAAGGTGTCTGGTGACCAGTAGGAAGGGAGAGTGGATGGGGAAAGTGAGAATTTGCTAAGGAGTCTCTTCATCAATGAGGAGAATTTATTAAGGATTTCAGGGTTTCGACTGGATTAGAAGACTGCAACATAGTGCAGGGGAGTGTCTCTCTGTGTGCTGTAAGGAGCTGAAGGCACCCGTTTGTTTTCTCTAAGGTGAACTGGTCTCAGTCCTGAATATCAGCCGTGGTAAGAAGCACGTGTGTGAATATGGGGGCATCTGAGTGCTGTGGAATCCAAGTGCTTCCAGCTTTGGAGATTTGTGTTCCTATGGAAGAAAGGGGGCTTAGAGACTGTGTGGACGTGGGATGATGATTTATTCCCGTTATTCTCATCGTCTTCCGTGGAAGAATATAAAACACATGGGGAAAACTTTAAAACATCACTATGCATGTGCAGGCTTATTTCATTAATTACTACCATAGCTATAATATTACAGAATTTTACATGAAAAATACTCCCTATAAATAAAAATAGTTCAAGCTACGTTGTTCAAAAACCAGTTCAGATCCCACGGTGCTTCGTATGAAGTTTGAGGTTGATCATTCTAATTTAAGAATGATACGTATTAAAACTGCTAAGTTTTATTTCACATTGTTATTAAAATGGTACCCATAGGCATCAAGTAATGACTCGGTGAAATCTTAGTATTAGCATTATTAATATTATTAATCTTTGTTGTGAGAAGGAGGTACAGAGCTTCATCCTATTTATCAAGACAGTGTACACATTTGTAACTTGGACAACCTTGCATGGTGCCATTGTTCAGTTACTCAGAGAGTAAAAGAGAGAAAAGACAGCGTATCAGAAGGAATATATGCTTTGTTTGCATCAAGATGATATTTTGTAGCCACTATTTAAAAGCCCAGTTTCATGTACTATAATAGGTTTATTGGATTTACTACGTTCAAGCCTTTTTTTAGAGCAAATGCCAGCTTTCACAGAATTTTCACTGGAAGCACTTACTTTAATCTTGTGGATTGGCCAAATAAGCTCAAGGCAGCATCCTGACAATATGAAATCGATGCCGTGGAAATTTTGCAAATTAGCAGATCGTATTCCCCTTCCTCCAGGCAAGCCACACTGTAACTATTCTCCACAGAGGGACATTTATCTTGCTCTTAAACATCTCCAAGGAGGACTTCCCATAACTTTTTTGCTGGCGTCTATTAATTTCTTAACTGAATGAAAATGCTTTCCATTTTATTTTGTTACTTGATTTTTCTCCAGCCACGATTTAAACTACTTTTCTTTTCCTGGCATGTTAGACAGTAAGATATAAGAGAATAGCAAGATCAGATTAAAATATCAACTAAATTATAGTGTTTACAGCAGTCCGTGGCAGCCCTTTTCATAAGATTTATGTCTGTGTTTTAAACCTCCTAGTCGAAATGTGAACTCATGGTATTGCCACCATGTCATTACCAGCTGATGGCTCACCAAAATGATAACAAATGTTTATAGAACTGTTCCTTAGAAACATTGCATGTGTGTTTAAAATATTTAACACATATGCAGTAAAGCTGTTGCTTTGTTGCTTCAATCAAATCTTGAATGAAGACATGTTGCATTATGCCACTAATTTATTGTCAAGTATATATATTAGGCATTCCATTTAATTGAATAATTTAGGGGAATACTGAAATTAAAAATTTAGTTCTTGCTAATATTTGTTTTATTTTATTTATTTATTTTGTAGCAACAGAGTCTGACTTTATCACCCTCAGTAGAGTGATATGGTGTTACAGCTCACAGCAACCTCCAGCTCTTAGACTTAGGTGATTCTCTTGCCTCAGCCTCCCGAGTAGCTGGGACTACAGGCACCCGCCACAACACCCAGCTGTATTTGTTTGATTTTATTATTGAATTATGTACACTACTCAATAAGTAAGTGTAATAAGTAAAGATTTTTTGAAGGTCTCTTGTGTTTATAAGAAGACATTTGTAGCTATGGATATCCCGGGATTTAGGTAAAAATATATAAACTTGAAAATTAAATAGATTACTAGATTCTAGTAACTTCACAATGTTACTTTAACTCACTTTATCATTAGTTTTTCTAGGAAGGTCCCAACATGGATATTTAAATTAATGAAATTCCAACACGAATTATTTTAGGTGTACTATGGAAAGTGAATTACAGCTGCTGCTGCTTTAATTTTCCAATCCATACTCTGCTCCTGGTTAGCTATTCCCTATGTATAAATAACTATATCTCCTTGTTTGTGTACATTACCCTACTTCCATTAACCCTACATCTGTCCTGAGTCCTACCCTCCTTTTCCAGGAAAAATGCATCTTGATTAAAAAAGAAGGTTGGGGAAAATAATCATATTTTTCTTACATGCATTAATTTATAGACAGGGGCTTAAGTCGTAAGATAATTCAGCATGGTTCTTTTTGTGGTACGTCATGATATCATTTGCAAACTAAATGTGCATGACTATGACATTTTAGGTAAGAAATCACCCCATTGGAATGGTTTGTTTACTTGCACAGAAGATTTGCCACCCAGAAAGAGAGAGTTTATATATTGTTACTAAGTTATTTTAGACATTTTACTTTATTTTTTTTCCCTGAAGTGCTATCATCTTCAATTTTTCTATTGGTAGAGCCATTGAAAGGCATGGAAAGAAACCTCCCAGTTCTATCCTAGTACACAGAGAGGCATATGTATTTTGCTCTATTTTTATACTTCTCTGGTTTTAGATGTCTCTCTTCTGGTTCTCATCAGCATTATCTACCTAATTCCCAGTGATAAGGGAGGAAGGGCTGCTCGTAAGTCTGTATGAGAAGTAGGGAATCAAAATATAACAGTAAGAGAGAAGAG